GAGTCGAGAATTCTCATCCTCTTGTCTTTAATCGACACCTTGTAGTTCTTTTCTACCAACTGCCCTATGCTGAGCAAATTACTTTCATGTTTGGTATGTATAATCGATTCGAAATTACTGATCTCTTTCCATCTTTACTCATAATCAAAACATCCCCAATACCTTCAGCTGCTAGAGTATTGTCATTTTCAAATTTCACCATGTTCTTCATTAAGGGTTTTACGTTGACAAACCAATCCTTCCTACCATTCATGTGTGATGAGCATCTTGAGTCCAAGTACCATAATCCTGGAATCTTTTTTCATTTGTTGTTGTGATCATCAACAACACGTCTTCTTTTTCATGCTTTACAAACTTTGCATCATTTTCTTAGCTCCTTTGTTTTCAGGATAATCAGTGACCATACTTCTGAAAATTGAAACACTGAATGTGACTTTTATCAGGTTTTCAACCACCACCTCTTCCTCTACCTGCAGTATCACATCTTTGATTGCTTTGGTACGAGGACTTTCTCTGATTTGACCACCCTCCTTCTTGATGACTTCAACCATTCGAATTGTTGTAGCCTCATCTACTTTTATTGTCGAACCACTTCCCTTTTCATTTCTTTTCTCTTACTGATTGCGCTTGCAAAGCCACGTCACTCTTCAACTTGCTTGCAGCTCTTTCAGCCACTTTTTTTCATGAGATTCAAGCGACCTTTGAACCTCTTCCTTTGTCAATGTTGACAAATCTTTCGACTCTACTATGCCTACTACCATGTGTTCAAACTTTGGAGCCAATAACGTCAAAATCTTTACAACAACTGATCTTGATGTCAACACTTCTCCACATATCTTGATTTGATTCACTAGTTTTGTAACTCTATTGAAAAAATATGTTATGCTTTCATTGTCTTTCATCTGAAGCAATTCATATGTTCTTTTGTGAGTTTGTAACCTCATCTCTTTCACCTTTTTTGTGCCTCCAAACGATTTCTCCAAGATTTTTCATGCTTCTTTCGTTGATTCTACATCATTGGCCTTTTCGAAATTGTCTAGATCAACACATTGATGAATTATAAAGAGAGTTCTATAATCTTTCTTCAATTATTTGTATGCATATTTTTCTTGATCTGACATGTTTTCTGCAAGTGGTGTTACTCTTTCCTTCACAAGATCCCAAAGATCTTGACAACAGAAAATAACCTTTATTTGTTTACACAAATTCTCATAATTCCGACCTTCAGAATTGGGAGACTCGCCAAAAAATATTCATTCGGATGATTCATCGCCATTGCCATCATGTTTTGCTTCCCACGAATCGCTCAACCAGTGCTCTATATATCAGATGTTGGAATTAAACCAAAGACTTTGAGTAATTTCAAATCAATCTTGATGAACAAGATTCAATCAACCGATTGAATTCTCTTCTTGTTCTTCACATTTCACTCGAGTGAATCAACCAACCTTTGTTGCAAGATAGTAGCGCTGCACAATTATAATGAAAGGAGAAATTTTGAATTGGGGAAGAAAGAAAGATTAAGGTTTTAGAGAAAAATAAGAGAAGAAGAGATTTTTTGTTGAGCTTCTTTCTACTTCCAAACTGGAATTTTATTCTTTGCAACTGCAAATTCATTACACAATAATAAGGGTTACTCCTTATTTATAGATTTTGGGCTTGCTTTCTCCTCAAGTAAGGTCCAAAATACCTAATTCTGCTAACACTACAATATTAGACCTAAGTCGAAATTCCTACTGAGATACACTACTTTGACATTTTGACACACACAATTTTGACACATAGCATTTCGGGGACAACAGGCTCTGTCGAAAATACTGCTTTGACATAAAGAGTTATACTTTTAACATAATTCACCTTTTAATTAATCAAACATAATTTTAGAGAAATCAAAGATGTTTGAAAAACATTTTAGAAAATGATTCATTCAATCTCCTATGTCTATAGTAGCAAAACGAGTTGGTATTGGTTGGATTCGCATGACATCCGTTTGATCAACCATTTTTGGTAGGATGGATCGAGGTTTTTAGCTCATTATTTTAAGTTGGCTCGTCTCGTCTAAACCATTTAAAAAATTGGGCAGGACAAGTTATGTAAGCGAGCCTTTTTTAAACATTTCTTACTTAAAATGAAAATTAGGCATTGCATTGAAGATTCTAATCCATTAATATTTTTTATCAATAAAAAACCGAATGTTTTCTTATATAAATATTATATTATTCCATCCTTCTGAAATTTCTTCATTTGTCTCATTTGTTATCATGTTTATCTCACTGTACTATCGTTCTATTCAATCATTTAAGCCATCTCTTCTGTTTTGTTCTTCTTCCTCTCCAGAGACATGTATATTTAAGGTAAACTTCAACTCAATCTTTCTATTTTTGATATTACATGCAGAGTGAGACAAATACTTAACTAGGTTGTTCTTGTTGGTTTTTGGTATTGTGATGTTAGTGACATATCATGGTTTAACCAAGTGGATTATTTCAGTGTTTTTGTGTGTTTGTTTTCAATTTTTTGAGTTATAGTTATTGATCTCACCTGATCAAAAAGAATCAATGGTCTGCCACGCGTAGTTGGATTGTTGTTTTCATCTGAGTAATGGAGAGAAAAGGGGTGTACCTGCAAAACACTTCAATGCTTAAGTGAGTAAAAGATCAGAAAGAAAGAAAGCACAAAGGTTAGGTGTGGAGAAGAAGTTGCCTAACCCTCTAGTGAAAGAGGGTATTTATAGTGTGCCCCCAGCGCAGGGTCAACGATTACATTGTATTGGGTCAGACTGTCAGGCCCAACCCAAGCAACTGTCAGGGCTTACGTGGCGTAGTGAAAACCAGCATGTGGTCTTCGCCCTAGATCAATTGCCCCGTGATCTTCGGAAGGTGGGTTAACCGACTTTTTCGGAGGTGGATAGTTGTTTGATGACATGTCCCCGCATGAGGGACACGTAAAGGACGTGGGGGAAGTGCATGAGCTTCCCCGTCAGGAAGGTTTTCTGCTCGGCGCATGTGTTCGGTGGAGGAGGATTGGACCTTGTTGGGTCTCATCGCCACGAATTGGGTTGGGCCTGCCCGGCAGAGGGGCAGGTCCCGGCCCAGTCCAGAACAATTATGTTGTTTTGTTTATGTTGAAGAATATGACATTGACATTAAAACTTGTTGAAATTCTATGATGCGTTGTTATAAAATATATTTTGTCAATCTCTTTGGTAATTATTTAAAAAAATTATAAATTATGTGGTAAATTAAATTGTAAAAAAATATAGTAGATCGATCTGCCAACTCGTTAATAAATGGAGCATGCTTGAATTTTGAATTCGAACGTCAAAATTGACCTACCTTCCTCGCTTTTGGACGGACTTAAACAGGACAGGTCGCATGCTTTGTCACCCTAACTGTATATGTTTGATTTAGCTTTTGGAAGAGTTAAAAGAAATTCTAAAAGTGTGGAGTTGATTTTAAAATAATTTTGAGGTATTTGATTCTTCTAAAGTATAATTGATTCTGCCTCTAAAATTGATTATACTTGAAGTTAAAATTTATAGCTTTTGAGTTTAAATATTATTTTTACATAAAAAAAAACTACTATTCAATTCATTTTTGGATAAATTTATCCAAACATAACACATAGCACTTTATCTTCAACTCAATTTAAATTATAATCAAGTTTAACAAAGTATAGTTGGAGCTAACTCAATCCTACAAAATCAACTTGTAAGGTGAAGATTACTTCCACTTATAAAGACATGTTCAAACCATATTTTGTCCTATGTAAGACTCTAACAATCGCAAAACCACCACTTATAAAGACATATTCAAATCATTGTTCCATGTGAGACTCTTAACGATCACAAAACCAAACACACACCATACTCGATTCTAGCCACATTTTTTAACTTTTGCAATTGAGTGTTACTGATTTTGTATCAAATAAATTGAGTTGTTAACATCTGCCCCATTACAGCAACTATTGTGCCGAATTTTCATCAGCCACAAGTATTATTTTTAATGCTACTATCATGAAGCTCATTGGATATTATTACACAGTGAACAAGAGAGACCACCACACGTGATTATTGCAGTTAAATCATGTTAAATAAAACTTTATAAAATATTTTTCATAGTTAAATTCTAGTTAAATATGATCTCTATTTAATCTATTATTCTTAAACTGCGGCAAAACTAAACAGAACCTCCCAAAATTTCAGTGAGTTTGCTGAGAACATTTAATTATAATGATAAGAAGGAAAGGCTAAGAAATATGGATGCTAGTTGGAGGGTATGGTGTTTGATGTCTCTAGATGATTTTTTTATCATTACTAAGCAAGTCTAGAGTTTGTATCTATACTGCACCTAGCAAACTATGATGAAAGTTCCCTTCTCGGTAGCACCTAGCAAACCATGGTGAAAATTTCCTTCTTGTTATAGTTACAGCCGCTGTGAGGCTAGGCAAGTTATGACAGATCAAAGTACCCTAACAACCTAAATGATGAACAATGAAGATTGGCAAGACTTGGCATTTGATATGACTCAACAAGTGGTAGAAAAAGAATGGTTTGATGGATGCAAGAAACTCAACTTCATATGTGCTGCATGTGTGTTATGGTCACCTAGCTAGAAATTGTTGTAAAACCTTCAACAGTCTTGCCAGAAACAACCACTGTCAAGCCGGCAGCTACTTTTACTCGCGAGAAAAGATACAACAGAAAGAAAGTAAATGATAACCGGGAAAGTGTGAGAATATCATTGATCTAATAGCAATAATAGTACCAATAAGAACATAATTATGGTTTTTATAAATTAGTGCTTCAAAATACTATAAATTAACTGCAACCTCTAACCAGAAGAATTTGTACTGATTGTTATGGTTGTGCTTGTGCCAAGCAGAGCAGCACAAGTGCCACAACACAATGACACAGAAATGACATTGTGTATGGTATTTTATTCAGATTTTGTATGATAATTTAGAGATCATTGCAATTGGATAATCAGTTTCTAAATAAGTCACTTCCTTAAGCTCTCAACTATGTAAGAAGCATAGAGGTCCCTGCAAAAGGAAATATTCATGTAAGAAAAATAATACTAAAATCATTCCATCCCCAAGGGAAAAGTTAAATCATTGACAATTAGGGCCGATAATCCAAAACTAGAACTAGAGTATGAAAAAGACTTACATGGAGTACTTGATGGAATCAATGGCAGACTGAGCTGGTAGAAAATCATCAACATCAACTTTTTTGTTCTCATTCTTCTTGTCTAGTTTGGCTAGCTAAGGATATGTGCGTCAACTAGGGGTTCTGGTAATGATAGCATTGACAAAAAAAAAAAAAGGCTTCAAGCATTTCAATGTCAATTATAAAACAAATATTAAAATTGTCATTAAAACATAGGGGAGACATGGCTTTTTGAAATCCTACAAACTAAAGTATATGGTATGTACTAAGCAAAATGTTAACTGGTGCCCTCATGGCAAATGGCATTGGTTAAAATTTCAAAAATAATTATTTTTCGTACTACATGTAACATTTTAAAATAATTATTTTTCTTTAAATTTAACATGTTCCCTGAGGACATTTCTTAGAAGGATTCATAAACTAAATGCAAATAGCAGGATACAGTCCTCAAAGAATCTTCTTATTTCAGCCAGCCGATGTGGAGGAAGCTCTTTGATGTCTGTGTAATGGCGGAACTCGGGGTCATCAGCACAAACTGCTATTATCTTGTCATCCTTCTCACCCTGCACCACAATTTATTATAAATAGTTTTCTCCTAAATGTTCACTGACTACCAAATTGTACCATGTTGAAAACCAAATAACAGGTAAAAGGAGCAAAAGTTACAGTCCACTAGTAATATATCTAATGATAGTTTTATTTGATCCTTGTAATGGTGTTAGAGCATTCATAATAATTTTCCTTGGGCCCTTCAATTTTCATTTTGTTGCTCCAAGAAAATGAACGCTCAGTCATTCATATTCATAACACCACCCCAGTGAAAATATAACTATGGTTGGAAAAGTTACTGGTGATGAATTTCACCATGTAGAGCAATGTTTTGTCGTTTCAGTCACGGGACTACCACTTAGCCTTGATTTTCAATTGAATAAATAATTAAAAAGGCTAATAGGTAGCCTCCCACCAGCTTCCCAAACACCCTCACACACAGTTCTTTTTCATGTTCCCAAACAGAATAAAAACCAAAGGCAGGGAGGGAGGAAGCAAACTTCTACCTGGTCAATCATGGGCATTAGTCCAATAGCACGAGCACGGAGGAAGGTACCAGGTAGCACAGGTTCCTGCTCAAAACATGATTTTTCGATTTTTAATTCAGTTAAAATTTTGACTAAAAGTGTAGACATGCAATTCTGCTAAATATCATAGATAATAAGTTAAGTTTTGCTACCTGCATCAGAACCAGAACATCCATAGGATCGCTGTCTTCACAAATGGTTCGTGGGATGAAACCATAGTTGTGTGGGTAGACAACTGATGAGTAAAGAACACGATCAACCTAGATTATTTAGCTCATGAGTTAGTTATAATTCAAATACAGATAAAAGACTCAACTAGAAACCATTGCATTATTATCGATGTATAACCAGACAGAAAATTATTCAAATTAAATTTTTCAGCACAGTAACATACAATGATAATCTATCATCCAATATTCAAGGATGCTATAGTTAAAAACGTTCACTACTAAACAAACAACACTTGTTTGGAAACACTTATGACACTCATCACCTGTAATGCATTTTGAGTTTTGAGTTGTCGCTTATCATGTGTGATTCTACAACAACAACAACTAAGCCTTATGTCACTAACTGGTGTCGGAACATGTATGATTCTACTTGAATATAAATAAAAAATTCCAAATTGCGACTAACTATTGGGCTACGTGCAGGGATGATGCAATGGTCCTGCCTGGTCCATCAACAGATCAGAGATAGGTTTTTATATCACCTAAGGTTTTGGACCTAACACAACTCCAAAAAAGCAGTATGTTGGATATGAATTACGTAAGTTTTATAAACTTTATCTAGGACTCTTATCTCTAGCCAATGTGGAACTTGAGATTTTCCCAATAGGACAAAACTAACATTTATTACAAAAAAGCTCAATCCAAAGAATCTTGACATGTTAAGTCGTGGCGCTTGCAAAAGCAATTGACCATTCATAGTAAGGGGATTTTTTATAAGGGACATATGGGAGTTTTACACATTTCAGCTTCAAAGTTGAAAAAGTCTCAAGAGCAACTGAAGATAAGCTAAATGACAATACTATCCCTTTGCAATAAAGTACTTCACATCTTGCTATTGAATAAAGCTTATGGAATGGAATAAAGCAAATTGAAGTCGAGAATAGGGAATGAAACCTTTATAAGTCCACTTTTCTTGTCCAGCTCATACTTAACCTTACCACCTTTGCCAATTTCAATCACCTGCCATGGAAATAAATATACTTCACTAACAAATCATGAATAGGAAACACAAGTTCAGTGGAACAAACTAACTAGGCAAAATGTAAGAACTGAAATTCCAGATTGCTAGTGGGATGGCCATGTTTAGGGTCCACCACACAAGCTTAATCACTTTTCTAGCTGCATTCACTACAAGTACAAAGATTAGTAAATATTGGATGGACGGATTGCATGAAATAAATTAATATAAGCTCCAAAACTTGGATGGTTGTGCCCTTAATGCTACTGCAAGTGACATTCTTATAAAGAAATTTTCTAACGTTTCTGAATGCAAGTTATAAAACAGAAAACAAAAACTTACACAATTGAAAACTGCTGGAGCTCCCGGTCCTGCATATATAAAACCATTTGTTGTTTATCAATGTTAGAGAAAGATAATGATTTATTGAAACAACACAACAGTTTCTTTTACATTCTGAGGAGAAAACAAACCAAAAATATTATAATTTTGCAAGCACAAATTCATTATAACTAAAAGTGACCCAAAAATATCCACAAAGCTAGTTTTGTACCTATCTCTAAGTCATGCCAGGGGTGAGCAGCAACAGTTCTCCTCGACATCGAAGAAAGTATTCTTTCATTGAGCTTAGGGTGAGATCCACTCGAAGACCATTCCTTTGCCTCTTCGTGGTTAGCCATATTAGCTTCGCATACAATCAAAATCACGCGGATTTACTGCAGGTATTACAATAGTCAGAAGAATCCACTTCAGTTAAGATTAACTAGCAAAATATCCGTGCATGTGTATGATTTGCTTTGGTTAATTCAGTTTTTTCTCATGAATCTGTATAGAATCGAAATATAGCAGATAAAGAACAATGAATCTGTAAAGAATCCACTTTTTTTCTTTCAATGATTAATTCGGAAAGCAATGAATCTGCTAGTAGTAACAAATTTAACATGCATAGATCATAATGTAAATAAAGCAATATCAGGAACATGAACAACAAAAGCGAAGGTAATTAATTCAATTCAGCAATGATGATATAAAAAAAAATCCGATTTGATTGAGGCGTGATTAACTAAGTAGAACTAAATCAAGAGAATCAAAGAGTAAAAAACTCAGAATCAGTAAAAATTGTAGTGCGATCATTCAAATGATGAAAAGCATGAGTAGTATTAGGGTGAAGAAATGGCTTACAGAAAGGAGAGAGAGAGAGTGGGGGGATTTTGGCGAGTTGGAAAGAAGAAGCGAAGACGGGGTGGTTGGGTGTCAAAAACAGCTTAACTTAGCGGCCAAACGTTGAATTCAATGTGTGTCGTGTGATTAAAGATGATTTTAATATCGGACGGTTGGGAAGGGAGATGGGAGGGATTTGTAGGTATACCAAATATTCGGATATATCGGACAAATGTCGTCACTATAAATTAAATATTGCACAAATTTATGCCGCTTTAGTGTCATGTTAGGTCTACATTTATTTATTTATTTATTTATGAGAATAAGATAATTTAGTCATAAAAAAAACAATAAAAATTAAGGCAGTTATCTACATCTAACATACGGCTAAACTAATTGCATCTTTTTTCAATAAAAAAAATTAATTGTAGAATGCGACAATTTTGATTGGCCCCAAGAAGAATCTGTTGGTGTAAGCCCTAGAGGCCAATACTTTTTTGGTACTTGTATCGGATTATTCGTTTAATAATAAAAGGCATTTCTTTATTATGTTTGTCTTTCAGAATAATAAAGTCCCTAGAATAGTTAGTCTGTTTAATGAAATGTTAAGTGTGACTTAATCATGAGATCCCATTAAACATAAAGACATTATTCTTAAAATATCCGTAGTCAAGCTTTATTGCAAAGTGGGATAACATTAAAAGCATTGAGACTATTATGAAGATAGACTGATGATCACATCTCATGGATCATGGATAAAGAGTTATCAAGTCTTGACATAGGTATAAATATTAGGAGTAATATTTATACCGGATTGACCCGCTATGAGAATACTACATAGTATGTTATGCAAAGTGTCATAAGTTATTCTCATGGTGATAATGGTGTATTACCACCCTTCGACTTGAAACCACTATGGACCCTAGATGTAGAGTCGGGTGCTCTATTGCTGATCAAACATTATCCGTAACTGGATGATCATAAAGACAGTTGATGGGCACTCCACGAAGCATGCTGAGGGACATGAGTGTCCTAGATGGAATTTTCCAATCCTGCATAACAGGAGAAATGTCTAAGGGCCCAATATTGAACTGGACAAGGATGACACAGTGTATGCCTTGTGTTCAATATAGACATAGGGGCAAAAGGGAAATTGTACAAACATATATTATCACGAAAAAGGTTTTGTCAAATCACATGACATTTTCGTGACTTGGGTAGCAGTGATGTGTTGCTAGATACCGCTTACTGTTTATTATGTTAAATATATAATTTAATATAATTACCAACGTTACGAAATCCTACAGGGTCACACACATAAGGACAGTTTGATGAGAGATAGAGAAATCAAAGAAACACCGTAAGGTACGGTGCACTTAAGTGAAAAATAGAAATTCGGATAATATAATAATAATTATTGTTATTTTATAATGGTTATAAAATAATAATAAAATAAATATATTTATTATAATAATAGTTATTATAATAATATATAATATTATTATGGATCATGTGAATTGGGTTTTAGCCCGCAACCCACAAGAGAGTCTATAAAAGGAACCCTTGTGATGAAGCTTTCACTTGATGCAATTTCGTTTTTGATTCTCTTTTCTCACTCAAATAATTCCGTTCGGAAGCAGCTAGCACTGTGAACGGAAGCTGTTCGTGTGGACTGAGTAGAGGCGTTGCACTTCATCAACGCTTGTGATCGCTGCATCAAAGATCTGAATCGCCACAAAGAGGTAACGATTCTATCACTGACCATGCTCATTCGTAAGGATCACTAAAGGAAATTTTTGTTTTCCGCTGCGTTTAGATCGCAATTTTCCTTCAGAATCAAACCCATAAATTAATTGGTTCAAGATGATATTAGACTCTTGAGCAAACGTGATATGACAAATCATGAGTCGCCTATTCTAAATAATTGCATTTATGGGGTTGGTTGCTTTACTCATCTGTATAGTCATGTAGAGATAATTGAATGATGATGTGTCAAATTACATGTTCTTGAAAGGATTATTATATGGTCTTTTGGTTCTTATTAATGGGGAGATTCGATTTCCTTATCCCTATCTTATACTTAGCAGTTGGGTGGAAATCGATTTATCACTTATCAACTTGGTACCTAAGCTAGATCTATAAATATCTCAACCTTAAGGGTTGGGGTAGATCATTATTCACATATTCAAAATACTTAAACCTTCATGCAGTTACCTTCCTAAGCAGTGTTATCATCATTGTATTCTTACAAGTACAATTTATCTCCACTATGGGGCTTCGGTAAATTAAATAAGGTCATACCACAACAACTAGCAACACTGACAGTGATGATAATGACATCTTAACAAATATGTGTGTTGCTATGGAAAAGTTGTGTTGTTCCGACCAAGCTTTGTAGGAGAACGTCCTGACCTTTCAAGAACAACATTATGAAGACATCAAAGTTGAAGATGAAGTCCCAAACCCATAGTTTCTCTCTGACGAGATGTGGGATGCTCTGGTACCGGAAAACTTCAAACCATCATCACTAGTGAAGTTGATGGGAAAAACAACCATCGAGAACATATCACAGTCATCAATACTCGTATGGTAACTCTGACTCCTTAAATGCAAGCTTTTGTCCAAGACAAGACACCCCTCTAAGTCATGGCCGACAACACCTTCATGAAAGGCACAATGTGCATTCGGATTGTAGTGAGACGATGGAGTGTCTGAAGGTGGACCCAGCAGTCGCATCGTTATCGGCCCTTGTTGCACCAAAGACGGGTACAACTCTGTGTAAGTCATCGGTATCTGAGGAAACAGAGGCCTCGTTGCTGGTCTTTGATTTTGGTAATTTTGCCTTGGTGCCTGAGCCCTAGGCTATTGATATTGCTGATAGGGTGGAGCATTGGGCGCTCGTTGATACCCTTGTTGATGAACTGGTTGATACATGGGTGTTGGTTACACTGTCTGATAATTCGGAACAGGGTGATTGAAAGCAGGTGTTACAACTGCTACATATGGTATATGGTTGTTGGGCATACTGTACTAGATACATCGGTTGTTGTGTCAAATTTTGCTGAGGCTGCTGAACGTAGCCTGGTTGAGGCTGCTGAACATAGCCTTGTTGAGGCTGTTGATATCGTTGGTAGGGTTGCTTCCAAGTCTGATTCTTTCTCCCCACCGTTATGGCGTTTGTTCTCCCTCCTTCCTTTTATGAAAATTACCACTGAACTTCTTAACATTGTTGTTGTTGGACCCACTGGAGCTACTAGTCATTTTTCCATTCTTCAATCCCAATTTCACTCTCACCCTCACAGCCACTATATCGGAGAAACTCGTTGTTACATTGCTAATCATCTTCTCATAAAATTTTGGTCTTACCGTGTCTACGAACCAATCTATCAACTCTTTTTCATTTAAAAGAGGTTCCACCTGAGAGGCAGTCTCCCTCCATCGTTGTGCATACTCTTTGAACGATTCCGAACTCTTTTGTGACATACTCAGCAACTGTCTTCTGTCAAGGGCCAAATCCATATTGTACTTTTAATGCTTTATGAAAGCATCGGCCAAGTCTTGGAAACTGTGAATGCGAGATTGATCTAGACTCAAATAACAATGGATCATCAGCTTATCATCTTCTACATGTGCAACCATTCTTCGGTAATACATGATCAAATGCGTCCGAGGACAAGTAGCACCAGAGTACTGATCAAAGTTGGGGACTTTGAATTTTGGCGGGATCACCAATCCAGACACTAAACACATATCTCTGGCATCAGTACCAAAAATATCATTCCCCTCCATCGCTCTAACCTTCTTCCCTATAGTTTCTACACTTTCCTTCAATTTCTCGTGTCGTCCACTTCCTTTTTCAGACCCATCAGGAACTTCAAACACTTGTTGATGGTTGTGAAAAACAGGGCGCACTTTAGCTTGCACAAAGGCTGGAGTATAAGTTAGGACAGCTTGGGGAAACTCTGCCCCTAGAGGAACTGACTGACTGGTGGCGGAGGTACAAAACCTGGCGCTAATCCATATGGTGGTATATTTGCAACAAATTGTCGTTGGGATTGGCTCCACAACTACGTTAGTGATTTCAGAAACTACAGTGGCATGAGTGTCCATTTTTGCATTAATGACTTGTAGGACTTCCATAATTCGTCATACGCTTCCTCATAGCTCTTCAAGTTCGTTGTTAACCCTATCCAGATTCAAATTCTGTTCTTCCATTCTCTGACGAGCTTGGGCTCGTGTGTTGTATTGATGTCGAGGATTCAGTGTGACTCTGAAGATAAGACATCGAGATGAGACACGACACAGGAAATGCACATGAAATGCTTATAGGTGCAAAATGCAAATACAAAATTAAAAATTCAAGGAATCCAAAGACACATTCACAAACATTATAATAATGGGGAAATAAAGCAAATTCAAAGTCTTCATAGATTAACAACTGAGAGTTTTACAATAGCAATTCAAAACTGAAGCACAAATCTTCAATACAAATTAATGATAAAACACAGAAAACAAAAAG